TGTGCTCTGAGGAGTATTTAGGCAGTCTGCAATCTGCTCGAAAAAAAACGTTCTACAGTTGACGCCAGAGGGCGTTTCGATCTCGGACAGCGCTCATGAAGTTTATGTGAGGGGACACTTGGCAGTACCTCGTGACCGACTTATCTTCAAAATATGTTCACGCTTATCTAAGATGTTCGCGTATTCAAGGGCGGCCAAATAAGTAAAAATATGATAACGCGTATGCTGTGGAAACACGAGTACTGCTAGCAACATTTTGCAAGGTAATAGGTGGGCATTGCTATTATAAATTTAGGCTTTTAACGCAGAGGTAGATTTTATAAATTAATGTAGAGATCGGCTTCATGGGAAAAAAACTTATACATTCGGATTGGTCGTACCTACTGTATAACAAATTTTTTTGGGGGGGTGAGAGCCACACCCCCAGCTAGTTGTTTTATAAATGACTCTTACTTCATGTAATATAAATACAATACAACGGCTTACGCCTAAAAACCATATTGGAAATATATACATCAAACCAAGGCTGGTCATATGTTTTATCAAAATATCTGAGTGAAATAAAGTACGAATATTGGGGTTCGAGACATTTATACGAGAGGTCTTACCCGAAATCACGAGAAGAATTGATGCCAACGCCAGGTGTAAGAGCGACATGACTTTCATAGAAATCTGTCTACTTTGAGCCCCTTTATATACATTACTGTGCTGTTTAGTTAAGTAGCCGTCGCCTGAATATTCCAGAAACGTCATTCATCGGGCGTTTTCCCAAGTTGGAGCGTTTTTAAGTTGTTCCAGTTTGTGCCAAGGGAGAGTGGGGGGTGGGCTGAAATCTAGTTTGTTGGTGAACTTGCGACTAAACTCATGGGTGGCCAACACCCCTGTGCGTGACAAATTCTTTCCCATTTCTTCTGAAACATTCCGGTTTTACATTCAAGCCCTGTTTTTTGTCAAAAAGCAATAAAATCTGGCTTGAAATGGCGGGCATTAAAAGACATGTGTGCACATGAGGAGGCGCGCAGACGTGCGAAGGATTTAGATTTGGGCGTAGTAGTTTGTTTCGTACAGGCAGAGCCTCCAGGTAAGTAATAAAATCGTGAAATGCATTATTCCCTTCTATATTAATGCTTCTTTAATGAAAATAATTGCCCTCGAGCACAAGTATTTGCCGACTGTCCGAAAAACGAGACTTGTAGCGGTGTTCAGGACACATTTCGATCATGGAAAACGTTTATAGATTTGTGAGGGAGCAACTGTAAATAGTAACTTGCTGTATCTCTTGACCGATTTATCTTCGAAATTGGTTTATGAATCTCTTAGATGTTCGCGCATTCAACAAAGCTAACTTAGATCGAAGTATTAAAATGCTCAGATAATCCTAGTCCTAGAATTCTGTCATGCATGACCTGGGGTATTATTTCAGTTTCGTTTTAGTTTGCTATTTCGTTCATTCACATGGTTATTAAGTATCTTATCTATGCGGTTTGGTAGAAAAAGTTGTGCGGTTGTCAGGGCAGGGCAGGGGTTCGGGGAAATCGGGATCAACATTTGATCAGCATTAGGGGGGGGGACTGGTAGTCGGACGAGGTGATGAGCTGCTGGCTGTTGGATTAGCGGCTTGTGACTATGCTTACTGCAGCGCCGCGACGAAGTGCATTTGGGCGCACTGGACCGGTGAGAGTAGCCTGATGGCGGCCGCTTCTGACGTAGCAAACAGACCAAGAAATGTTGAATTGCTTGAGGGTACCGATTCATCTTCTGACATTTTCGTTGGGAATTTTCGCAAATTTGAATCGCATTTTCGTTTAAGTTTACTTTAGATATTTATGTTTAAAATAGAGAAGTGTATGCAGTTGGCTATACAGTAGTTGGCGGTATCTAACTAAACTCACACCTAAACTACACTTAATCTTAAAGTACACTTAATCACAAACTAAAACACAACAAAACTAAAAATTAATAAAACTGAAAGAAACCACAGGACTAGGGGATGGGGGTATCTTTAGTGGGCGACCAAATTAACCTTCTTTACTTAGCATAATTGTGAAAAAATTCACGAAGTTCGGCGGGGGTTGAACCCGCATAGTAGAGAAGGCCTTTACGAGAAGCCAACTCTCTAACCACTTGAGCGACAAACGCCACACCTGGCGCCATGCATTTAATCACACTTTGGTAGATTTTATCCAACCAACTTTACCGCTCGTATGGAATCCACCAATACGGAACAGAATGCTGACTGCCCAAGCAGGATTTCCTAAGCAATTACCTAGAATCCACCAGAATGGTAACTATGCTGACGTGGTTATCGAGGAGGTCTGGCAGATTTGCTCAAATTTAGTTGACCCAATTGTTAAACAACTCGCCGAACGCCGCGAGTTTTTCTCAATTGGGTCAAATAAAATGGAGCAAATCTGCCAAACTTCCTAAATATCTTAATTTATACCGAAATACCATTACAAGTGGCAACATTTTGCGGCCTAAACGGTGGTCAATGCTACTATTAATGTAGGCTCTTACAGAGAAGTTTGGCTAATTAATTAATGTGAAGATCGGCTTCGTTGGAAATCAAAACTATGCATTCTGAATGGTATGCACTAATTTCATAATGTCTTTTTTCGGAGATGAGAGCCATATAGCTGGCATGAGAAGTTTTTCCTAAATAACTCTTAGTTTATCAAACAAGACCACGGTACTTTGGTTTACAGTAAAAGCTAAGTTGGAAGGTTATACATTAGGAAACGGCAAAATGTGCGCCAGTCTGTGGCAAAACGCCTGAGTGAAATACAAATACTGAGATTAAAAAACCTCGAGACCCTTTATATAATTTGTGTGCTATTTACTTAAGTAGGGGTCGCATGAATATGTTAAAGAGCTCATTATTCTGTCCGCTGCGGGTCGAATAACAACAGGACCTTTCCCAGGTAGAAGCGTTTCACTTTGTGTTAGTCTGCGCCAGGGGTGAGGAAGGGGGGAGGGGTGGGTTCTAGTAGGTAAGTGAAGAGGCGATCCAGCACATGGACGGCCAACGCCCCTGTAAGTGACAGAAAACCCTTTCTCGGGATCTATAATGTTCCGAGCCTACACTCAAACCCCCTTGTTTTGTCAAGAAGCAATAAAATCTGGCTAGAAATGGCAAGCATTAAAAGACATGTGAGCACATGAGGAGGCGTTAAGACGTTCGATTTGGGCGTAGTAGGTTGTTTCGTACAGACAGAACCTTCAGGTAAGTATTAAAATCGCGAACTGCATCATTTCCTTCTAACTTAATTATACATCGATGCAAGGCACTGATGCTTACAAGGATCACGCTCTACAGACAACGCATTACACACGCCTGTGTGATGATGATGATGATGATGATGATGATGATGATGATGATGATGATGACTACCCTCCAGCACAAGTATTTGCCGTCTGTCCGAAAGACGAGACTTGTAGTGGTGTTCAGGGCGCATTTCGACCATGGAAAACACTGATCGTTTTTTTGTGAGGATGCAACTCGCAATAGTAACTGGCTCTATCCCTTTAACCGATTTATCCTCGAAATTGTTTTATGAACCTCTAAGGTGCTCGCGCATTCAACAACTCTAACTTAGATCCGAGTATTAAGAGAACTCAGATAACGGTTACAAAGCAGTAAAGAAGAACAAAGTCGTTGCAGATAGAAACACGTGCTTGCTTAAAAGTTGTCATGTTCATGCAAGGCATATTTAACCAAGTAAAACAAAGAGGCAGTTCAGTGTCA